TGATGATGATGATGATGATGATGATGATGATGATGCTGATGCTGATGCTGATGCTGATGCTGATGCTGATGATGATGATGATGGTGGTGATGATCATCATGAAAATGATAATGATTACGATCATTGTCACGGTGATGATGGTAATAGTAATAGTAATGATGATGACGATGACGATGGTGATGCTGATGATGATGATGGTGATGATGATGATCATCATTATGAAGATGATAATGGTTATGATGATGGTGATGACGGTGATGATGATGATGACGATGATGCTGCTTGTGATGATGATGATGATGATTATGATGCTGCTGGTGATTTTGCTGATTGTGATGATGATGATGATGATGATGATGATGATGATGATGGTGGTGGTGATGATGATGATGATGATGGTGATGGTGATGGTGATGGTGATGTTGATGGTGGTGGTGGTGATGATGATGGTGATGATGATGATGATGATGATGATGATGATGATGATGATGATGATGATGATGATGATGATGGTGATGATGATGATGATGATGATGATGATGATGATGATGATGATGATGATGATGATGATGATGATGATGATGACGATTATGGTGATGAAGTGAACTGCTGCTTTCTCGGATCGAGACCGCCCCGCGCTGCGCGCCGGGCGTGCCCGCGGTTGATGCGTGGATGGCCCGCGGCCAGAGCGCGAGTGGTCCACGAGCCTGCCCCTGGATTCGAGGCCCACTCAGGGACCACCCCGGCGGCGAGGCGGCCGCACCGGCGGCGGCGGAGAACCCAGAGGGGGCCCCCTGGGTCGTCATCCCAGACCTTAGTGGGCCCTGGGAACGACAGGGTCGTTTCTTCACCGGTTCTGGTTTGCTGTTTCTTTGCCGGTTCCGACGCCGTTTTTTTTACCGGTTCCGTCGCCGTTTTTTGACACGTTCCGGCTCCGGCTCCAATCCTGGAGCCGTATTTTTGCCGTTTCCAGTCGCCGTTTCTTTGCCGTTTCCATTTTCACTGGGCATTTTTTGGGAAACGGTAAGAAAACGGCCCTGCCGTTTGCGGGGCCCACAAAGTCCCAGACATCACCCATCGCCCATCGCGAGCCGCCCAGAGGGGCGGCAGGTGCCGAACTCGTGTGTTCGGGCCACCCCTGCCACGGACAGCCACTGCTACGCGATCTGGGCCGCCCCGGGTTCGAGCGAAGACCTCGTCGGGGTGCAGAGAAAAGGGGCAATCGCGTGGCAGGCGATCGCCACCAAGCTCGGCGACGGCAGCTACACTAGCGGGCGCGATCGCCTGCGTCGCTTCTCGCTTGCGTGCAGCGATCGACAGTTTTATCCGACGAGCACCGGGGCTACTCGCACACTGTCAAGGTCTTCGGCTTTACCAGGGCATGATGACGACGTTGCCGTCGGCGGCGCTGCAGCACACCAGGGGCGTCTTGCTCCGCTCATGGCTGCTCGGGCTGCCTATGCCCGGGGCCCGCTCCGGCGGACGGGCCCGCGCGAGCCGCGCCTCCCGCGGCAGGGGGCCGCGCGGGGCGCACTGCGAGACAGGGGACCCGCGGCGAGCAGCGCCAAGAGGGCCGCAACCCCGCGGCGCGTCAACGTGTCGCACGACGATCTGCAGAGCGTCCTCGGGAGCTTCAAACACGACCTCTGCAGGCCAAGGGCGGCCAACAGATAAGGCATCTCGGGCCGACGCGGCCAGGTCGAGAAGAGAAGCGTGGAGGCCCGTGGCCTCGCTTCTGCAGGGGTCGTTCCTCCAAGCGGGGCCCTCGGCGAGCGCGCCGGCGCCTGACCCCTTTGACCCGAGCAGATCCGAGTTCAGAGCTCGGCCGTGGCGGCGCCCAGGACAGCGGCCCAGCTCCCGAGAGCGCGCCCCCACGCCTCCCCGGTCCCGGGCGGCAGAGGAGGCCCCAGCGGCGGCGCGGATGCTGCTCTGGCGGGCAGACGGGCTCCTTGCGCGCGAGCAGAGCAGCCGCGCCGCCCCAGAGAGGAGGGCCGACCTCGACCTCGTGGCCCTGGTCGAGGCAGGCGGCCGCGACGCAGACAAGGCTATCCAGCTTGCGATGCCGCGGGCGCTGGAGAAGGTCCGCGGCTCCAAGAACGCGAAGGAGGACGAGCCCGCCCTGGGCGATCTCCTCTTCGGAGACGCAGCTTCGAGCTCTGGAGAGGCGGACCCAGTGGCCAGGTTCAACTGCCCCAAGGGAGTGCATGGCTCCTGGCGTTCAACGGGGCCATCGAGCGCGATCCGCAGAGGCGGCCCGCCCACGTCGACATCGCGGCCTTCACCGAGCTCGGCCGCGACGCCGCGGGCACTCCGTGGAGCATGTCGCCCCGCGGCAGGCAGAGGATTATATTCGGGCGCCTCGGGGACCACGAGGGCGTCTGGGAGATGCTCGCGTCCCTCCATTCTCTGCGCAGGTCGCGGCATCGTGACCTCCTCTGTGCCCGGATCGGCCAGTTCCTGATGGCCACGCAGCAGTCAGTGAATGCGACTGGCTCCTGGAGGCTGGCCTGGCTGATTGCGGGTCTCCCAGGCCCTCGGCCGGGAGCGGGTCGGGCGGCGACAGGCCGCGCACACCCCGCGGAGTCTCCGGCCTCGGTCGCCCACTTGCGGGATGCAGAGGCATTCGAGACCGCCCCCCAGAGAGGGGGCGGGGACGCCGCCAAGGATTGCGCCGGCAAGGGCCGCGTCTGGGACGAGAAGTCGAACAACTGGACCGACAATGAAGGGCAGGACGGCGGCGGGGGTGGCGGGGGAGGCGAGTGATCGTCTCCTGATGGGTCCGACAGCGGATAGAAACACCGAGGGAGGCCAGCGCAGGAGTCGGGCCTTCATCGTCATCACCTACCACTCCGACTTCGCCGGCCACCGTTAATTCGGTTATCTGCGCTCTTCTTGCATCTGGCCTGCCGACCTCCTTCTGTGCCTTCATCGAGGCGGGGGTCTCCAAAGAACCTCCCCGCGCCGTCGCTTGCCGGCAGAGGCCGGGCGGGCTCAATGACCACAGTTACGCCAAATAGTAACACGCGCGCTGCGACTCTCACGCCTGGGCGTTTTCGGGTTCTACATGGGCACGCCCTGGTCGCCAGGATGGGGTGAGCCAGCCGTGAGAAGCGGACAGAGCGCTCCCCTGGAAATTCGACGGTCTCGAAGACAAAGAGAAGTCATAATCATAATGATGATAAGAATATTACTGATACTACTAATAACAATGATAATAATATGAATCATAAACAGAAGAAAGATATGAATAGCAATAAGAAGAAGGATAATACCAAGAAAAGCATAATCAGACGAATAATACTAATAGTAATAATAGTAGTAATAATAATACTAATAATAATAATAAGAAGAAGAAGAAAAAGAAGAAGAAGAAGAAGGTGACGAAGACGCAGGCGACTACGGCGACGACCACGGCGACCGACGACGGCCGACGACGACGACCGACGACGGATGACCAACGATTGCCACCTCCCGTCGCGATCGCCGGCCACGTGCAGAGGGGGGTCGGGGGAGAGCGGGAGGCTTCTTAGAAGCACCCCTGCTTCTTAGAAGGCGCGGGCCTTCTCTATACATGTAAGGCCGGAGCCTTCCAAGAAACAACTTCCTTGAAGCTTCCCCGCGTCCCCCATCCCCCCCTCTGCGCGCCGGCAAAATCGACCTCCCAGCTGCGTGTCACCGCAAAGCGGCCTCGCCCGCAGCGGAGGAGGGGCGCGGGCGGGCCTGGGAGCCGCGGCGCGGCCCCTCCCCCGCGCCCGCGGCCGCCGCGGCCATGGCCGCTGACTCCGCCGGGGGCGCCGCCGCGGAGGCCGCGGCCGTCGGTCGTCGGCTTCTCCTCCTCCTTCTCCTCCTCCTCCTCCTCCTTCTCCTCCTTTTCCTCCTCCTCCTCCTCTTCTCTCCTCCTCCTCTTCCTCCTCTCCTCCTCCTCCTCCTCCTCCTCCTCCTCCTCCTCCTCCCTCCTCCTCCTCCTCCTCCCTCCTCCTCCTCCCCTCCCCCTCCCTCCTCCACCTACCCCTCCTCCTTCCTCCTCCTCCTCTCTCCTCCTCCCCTCCTCCTCCTCCTCCTCCTTCTCCTCCTCCTCCGTCCTCCTCCTCATCTTCATCCTCCTCCTATCAGATTATCGGATCGCACGCAAAAAAAGGTGGACGATTAGCTAGATGGTGTTCACCTAATCTTACGTGAGATGAAGGACCCTCCCTGGCAGAAGTGGTGTGAAGTTCTCAGAGGTGGAGCTCAGGTATCTGGCCCTGTACTCGCTTCGTGGGAATGCCGTGCTAGGAAAGTGGCATCACGGGCGCAGAGAATTGCGATACACATGTCTCTCTCCCTCTCTTTTCTCTCTTTCTCTCTCGCTCTCTCTGCAGGATTTCCGTGAATGGCACAGGAGCCAGCAACAGCAGGTGTACTACACAAATCGCTAAAGAAACAGCCGCCACCAGCAGTTTAGTTGGATTCACAATCGAATGCGATATACCACCCCATCGATATCATGGACGAAAAACTGAAGAAGTTCAAGAAGCTGTGGGTCCCCACTCCAGAAGTTTGACTGGCGCCAGAGACTTATTCAATCGTATACGTGAGGTGGCGATGAACAACCCACTGCCCCCAAGTTCAGAGGCTGGCCTCGTGCAGGCGTGCAAGAGGATGCAATCGCGAACGGGGTTGTGGGCAGATGGGTTTACGCCAGTGGATTTTGAGATATCGAACGTCTACCGAAGGCTGGTCTCACCGATATGGCCTTCTTGTTAGAAACATGTTGATCCACATTATCATGGCCAAGCCAAACCCTTCTTATCATTGGCAAACTGACGCCGAAGAAACCAACTGGTGATCGTGCAGTTGGACTTGTGTGAATGCTGGGACGGGTAGGTCAGTGATCAGATATGATGACATTCAAACTCTGGTCCTCTGATCAATCGATGAAGCTGCACATTGGTTTCGTGTGCAGTATGGCCATGCCATGCTGGACAGCGAAGCATTTTATGATTCAGTACCGTGGCAACCCCCAGTCGAGGCGTCCCTCCACTTCGAGTTTCCCCCAGTGGTGCTGTACTTGGAGCTTGTCCAGTGCGTGGCCCCACGAGCTCTGGAGCAGATGGGGGCTGCCACGGAGGCGTCCGAGCCTTCCCCAGAGCGTATTTCAACGGCTGCGCTCGGGCACCAGGGCTCGCCAAGGTCCTCACTCATTTCGTGATGGTTCATGTAACCACTATGCACCCTAGGATGGGTCACCGCTTGTGGGTGGATGACCTATCCCAGACCATATGTGGCTCGAGTGAGATGGTCACATGCCAGATGGTGGAGTGTATTGTACACGCGTGCGAGCAGCTGGAGAAACGCCATCTCAAGGTCGCAGCCAGGTCCGTCACCATGTGCACCAACGCTCGGGGCAAGAAGGCGGTTGTTCGAGCTGTGCGCGGCCGTGGCTATCAGATCAAAAGGTGTTACTCAGGCAACATATTTTGGAATTGACTTTGGATGTGGTAGGTTGGCCCGCAGCACCGTTAAGGATACGAGAAGCCAGGCATCATACTATGCCAAGAAAAGTACGACACTTCACGAAAGCAAGCAGACACGAGCATGTGACTTCTAAGCTGCAGCGGCAAGGAGGACGACCTGCAGAACTTTATGGACACCAGGTGCATGTACTTTACGGTCAGCAGTTGACGCTGGTCATGCGGTGCCTTGCTCAATGTTGGTCGAGTGGCAGTCGCGGCGGATGCTTAATACGCATTGAACCTAGAGGTGCCCAAAGCCGATCGTGTTATATCTTTGATTACTCAAGGTGCCGACCTACGTCGGAACACATGGAGAGGTCACCCTCGCATTCGGAATGGTGTACGGAAGATACGGCCAACAGTTGTGCAGCAGCACATGCAGATGGTAAAGTTTTCTGACCAGGCACGGCCAGTCAAGGGCCCTGTCCCGGCGATCGCCCTCAACTTGCCGCGCCTTGAGTGGACCCCATCATCACCATCTGCATGGAGCTACCCTACAAGCGACAACACGTATGAATAATGGGTCTTCCCAGACGAGGTCTACACGGGCAACCCGCACATCGACCAGCACCAGCACTTGCCCAAGGACTTGGAGGGTACCGCGCGCCTGCAGGCGTGGCGCCAGACAAATACACAATACGCAGGATGAGGGTTGGAACATGGAGCTCGCAATGATTCGCATCGTGCTATGCTCCGCCAGCTCGCCGCCTCCCCCAATGGAAAGAGACAGGCCGAGACGATGACAATGATTGCCTCAGCCGGATGCTGGCCACAGACGTGTAAACAGGAGTTGATCAAACGTTTTGCAGGGGGGCAACGTGTGTGACAGATGCCGCGCGAAGCCTGGGACCATCTCCCAACAGGCACTGGGAGTGCAGCAGGAACGCAGGTTCTGAAGCAGGCGAGTCCTCCGGTGAATTCTTTGTTTTGCAAGCCGCAACTCAATTCGAAACGGCTGAGGCTTCTGGGCTTAGGGGGCTCCTCCTCCTCCTCCTCCTCCTCGTCCTCGTCCTCCTCCTCCTCCTCGTCCTCCTCCTCCTCCTCCTCCTAGAGCCCTGGGCCAGCGCCCCGGGCCTGTAGGCTTCGACTCCGGTGCTGCGCCGGGCGTGGGCGAGGTTGAATCTGGGCGCTGCGGCAGCGGTTCACGCGAGTGTCCCGTCCTGGGATCTGGTGGCGCTCCCGGGTGGCCCTGGCTCGATGTGGCCCAGGATGCGACGCGTGGCCCTAGCTACTGCGGCGCTCTCCTCTCTCTCCCCGCTGCTCTTGGAGTCATCGATTTTTGTTGCCCCCCCCCCCTCCCCCCCCGGCCGCCACAGGCAAGTTGTTGCGAGAGGGGTGTTGAAGGCTTTCTGCATTGCCCTGTACGCCACCTGTGGATAGCTGCTATATACAACTGATTCCGAGCCTCTGGCTGACAGTTGGAATTCTAGACCTACCCCAGCCCGAAGGGCCCAGATGCTCATTTGTGGGCAAGTAACTGTTCTGTTCGCCAGAAGTCACCAGGATGTGAGTGACATTGTAGATGCACGCTCTCTAAGCAGCCTTGCTTTTAGCCAACACTGTAGCCAACGAGCTGGTAGATTGCGCAGCGAACGTGTGTAGGATCCCCGAGGCCTTCTGACACCAAGTGCATCCCGTGGAGGGCAAAGCCGTGCGTGTTAGGATGAGGCTCCTGGGGGACACACTCGACTGCCTCGAATGCTGTGCTGCTGAGAAGGCTGCTGCTTTGGAAGCGAGGGAGAGGAAGAGACAGGTGGTCCCACCTCCCCCTCCCCCCCTCCCCGCCTCGCTGCTGCTGCTCTCGCTCCGCTCATGTCAGCTCATGGGTCCTTGGAGCGTAAACATAAGCGTCTGAAGTGCTTCGGCCCGGCCACTCGTGCCACTGCCGCCATGTGGTGGAAGACTGCCTGCCCTAATAAAATCAATGTTGGTGGCACCATCTACTCTCCGTCGGGGGAAGGTGCTGGAATCCATGTCGCGTGGGGCTGGCTGGACCCATCACACCTCCTCGACGATCATACCCATACCCATTTAAAGGTTTGGTTTCGTTGGCATTGCGGAGGGACCGCTGGCAAACAACTGTGGCCCCTGGGCAAGCCATGATCGCCCCCCACACGTACGGGACGTGAATAAGTATATCGCATGGAGAAGTGGTTGGCTCCCCAAATCCTGGGCAACGCCGACCAAGCAAGGCGGCAGCGAGGGCCTTCTCTGTAATGTGGTCACCATCGGTACCGGCTGCGCCACTGGTTCCTGCTCCTCCTCCTCTTCGTCCTCCTCCCTCCTTCCTCCTCCCTCCTCCCTCTTCCCTGTTGGTGAAATCGGCGCAGTCCCCTGGACAATCCCCAGGAGCCCACATTTGGGCCGTGGACCTTCCGAAAGCGACTAGCAACAGGATGAAGAGGCGGTCCCGGGGAGGGGGTCCTGAGCTCTGGAGGTCAACGCTGTGAAATAGTCGCGGCGTCGGATGTTTGGGTCGTCTCCAGAAGGCGTCGTCGTCTTTCTCGTCGGCGTGGTCGTCGCCGCCGTCGCCGTCGGCATATCCGTCGCCGTCGCCGGTGGCGTAATCGTCGTCGTGAGTCGTCGGCGTAATTGTCGCCGTTCGCGTCGGAGCAGTCTTCGCCGCCGCCGCCGTCGACGTCGGTGTACGGTCGGCACATCAAACAAGAATGCGGCCTGCCAGCCAGGTCCCCGCAGGAGCTCATTATCCCCCGATGGCCCCGGGTTCCCCAGAAGCGCTTGAGCACTCTAGGATGCCCAAAGACCGACTCCGAATGTGCCCCTGGATCAGGTATGACAGCAATTCCTAGCGTAAGTGCCGAGGGTAGTCGTCGCCGTCGTCGTCAGCGTAGTCGTCGCCGTCGCCGTCGGCGTAGTCGTCGTCGCCGCCGCCGTCGTCGTCGTCGTCCCTGGCCGTAGTAGAAGGGAGAAGGTGATGGGCGAAGGAGGAAGGATGGAGGAGGGATAATGACGATAGGGGGACAAGATATTGGATGGAGGGGGCACGGAGGAGGAAGAGGAGGAGGAGGAGAAGGATGATGATGAAGGAAGGAAACAAGGACTGATGAGGATCAGCAGGCGGGAAGAGGAAGGAGCAGGATGAGGTGAAGGAGGAGCTGATGATGACGAGGATGAGGAGGGATGGAAGATTGACGATGAGAAGGCGGAGGAGGCAGATTGAAGCATGGAGTAGAAGGGGGATGTGGAGGAACAATAGGAAGGATGCAGGATGAAGTAAGACGTGGGGATGGCGTGGGCTGGGATGATGATGATGATGATGATGATGATGATGATGATGATGATTATGATGATGATGATGATTATGATGATGATGAGAGGAGGAGGAGGAGGAGGAGGAGCAGGAGGAGGAGGAGGGGGAGGAGGAGAAGGGGGAGGAGGGGGAGGGGGAGGAGGAGGAGGGAGAGGAGGAGCAGGAGGAGGAGGAGGAGGAGGAGGGGGAGGCGGGTAAAGAGCACGAGGCGCGAACAGGAACAAGTGGTGGGGGCGGAGGAGGATTCAGCGGAGAAGCGCGGCACGGAGAAGCAGTTACCAGAGTTGTTGCCTGGGCGGCATCGGGACGGTGTTTTGGACGAGGCTGGGGGCGACCATGCAAGGACAATGGAAGCATCATGGCTGACCCAGCCTGTTCAAACACCAACCTCAGACCTGAGTTCCCTCGGTTGGATATCAGAGGAGGTACCCATACCTCTACCCCCCGCCCGTTTTGCCCTCCTGGGAGGCCCGCGTCGCCACCGCTGGATTCGCTTCGAAATCCTGGTCAGAACGCACCACGGGAGAGGTCCGGGGAGTAGCGGTATCGGTACTGTCTGTTTTCCCCAGGATGCAGTTTTCAGAAATGTGCAATCACCACCAGTGGCAAGGCAGCCAGGCGCAATCAAATGATTATAGGTCGTATGCCGAGTACCGCGAGCACTCCGTCTGCAGCGCAAGTTGCAGGGCGCGTCAAATCCGAAGCTTCGGAAGTTGAGCCACCCACATCTTCTGGTCTTCGAATGCATGTCGGCTGTGCTTGCAAAGCCACATCAAACACATCCACGGGTCTGAGCAGCACAGGCGGCAGCAGCCGATCGAGCGCTTGTGAGTGAATGGCAGTCGCCCCAGCGTCTTTTCAAAGACCAGGAGAGCGCTGGCTCTCGTTCTTGCTGGGCGCGTGCTGCACGTCGGCGCTGTCCTTGATCGGTGGCACCCTCGGCCCGGCTGCGGCGGGACGGAACACACACTATCCAGCTCTGGGTCGGTCGGTTCTCTGTCCCCGCCGCGTGGCCGATGGCCCCGGGGGGGGGGGGGGGGGGGCATTTGTTGACCTCTCTGTCCCGTCGTTGCACCACCGAGCGAGAAAAACACACACACACACACACACACACACACACACACACACACACACACACACACACACACACACACACACACACACACACACACACACACACACACACACACACACACACACACACACACACACACACACACACACACACACACCC